ACTTTCTTCAACCGTTGGGCCAAAATATGTCTTGATTGAGAATTTTGTAGCTGATTTAGAACAAAAAAAAATTTTTTTTTTTTGCACATCAGAAAAAATGGACAAGGCGAATCAGAGAAACAACAAATTAAATTGGTGTGGCCTAACTTTAATTATAAATGTTTATTAGATCTCTATTGTCTTGGTCAGCAAGTACATGTTAACTACACCAAAATAGCAAACAAGAAGCCATAGGCGACAATTCTCCGTGAAGTATTATATATTGCAACAAAAAGAAGTAGCCATTGGCGACAATTCTCTGTGAAGTGTGATAAATCGAACAAAGAAAAATTGTTTAAACGCGCGTCGGCTCAGTCATATTAAGACCCAACAACCAATCAGAGATGCGAGATGCCTACACGTGACGCGGGAAGGGCGCGCGATGCCCGAAATATTTTTGCGTCAATATTCAGCGCCGTGATTCAAGAGATTAATACCCGGAAACAATTTTTTTCTTGTTTTGAACGCATTAACATGCATTTACGCTAATCTAGTATGATTCAGGGTTACTTTTTTTTTAACCTGCCATGGCCAGATTATCTAAAGATGTGTGTATTGTGTGTACAATCTGTAGAAAGAGAAATGTACATCAGGTCCGATCATCCGATTTTCACGTTTCGGTTTTTTGGACTCGGTTCATGAACGTATTTTGGTTTGGCTCCTGGAATGTGCGAAAAAAATGACTCCCGGGACTGTCTACAGGGAACACTCGCACATTCGCGGTGTATCAGGACAGCGCGACTGGTCGTCATTAGCGCAGTAACAGTTGCATAAACGGACGAAACCATTTCAAAGAAATGGGGATGTTTCGAAAATAAGCATTTACTCCAATATCAAAACAGCTACGGTAAAAATAAAAAGACGTGCATCATCCCGGACATAATGCAACACCACATGCGAAATTACACAGAAATGCGACGTACGGAAGAATGCGTTTTGGCTGCGAACATCTTCCAAAAAACTTGGCATCTCTTAACCATGGGCAAAAACATCTGGAACCACTTATAAAAACCACCCCGTATCTGCATGAACTTTTTTGAACCCCACTGCTATTCCAAACAACGCGTTTTTCTGGACCATTCCAATTCGCCTCGTAATTGTAGGGGTGCGTCTGCGATATTACATTGACCGCGAAAGCAGCAACGGCAAAAATACACATTCGTGCATCAACACGGGCATGCCCGCAGACGGCGTATAAAATTGCGTGCCGATTACACAAAGAGAACCCAGTGTTTTGACTGCGAACATGAAAAATCAGCCGATTACAACACTCCGTCCGGAGGTCCTGACCTCCTTCACGGAGTAATGAAGCATTGCGTACATTAACATGTTTTTAAGTTAAGCAAGTTATAATAGAGCAGCGTTTCCCAGTACAATTTTTTACGCACTCCGTGTCAAAACGGTCCCGTCAAAACATCCAACCATGTGCGACAAAAAACTAAGCCATGACTGAAAGACACAGGCCATCTGGCCGCCGTAACTTGAGACCAAGCGAGGCTTACCACTTCTATGTACTTGAAGTTCGTCAGGACAAGGTTCTTCAGCAGTTCACAGCCGATTCCACCCGCTCCGACGACCAGAACTTTACTATTTTCCACAGAATCTCGAGTGGGTGACACTAAAGTTGATGGTAAAGCCGCCATGATGGTTGCGAATAGTCCATACATGGGGAGGTAGATATTTTGTGGTTTTAATGTTAGCCTTATAATACGATAGTTATACTCGTTTAACTACATTAAATATAATGTGCAACTTAATCATACATATCATGAAATGACTCAATTATACCATATAACTATATTAATGTTTAACAATGAAATTTAATTCTTGCAAATATACTCCCCCGTTTATGGATAGACTCATCCAAATAGTCTGTTCTATACTGAAAGCAGAACAACGCAAAATCCATCAGAATATTGCTCAATGAATGCTAGAAATAAAATATATCGTTAAAGTAACCCATGAACGATTTTTTTTGTTATACTTCTTAAATTATTGATGTGATTTTTGTCATAGTTATGACTTGCAGATGCATTTTAGCATTATCGTGGTCCGTTGTGTTTTTTTGCCATCTGATGATATTTGAGGGAACGTTCAAGATGGCGGAAAGAGAGCTGAGTTCTGTTTTGTCTGCAGGTGGAAAGGCGGCCCACGACACAGCTGACAAGAGTAAGATGAAATAACTCACCTGGTTGGCTACACAGTTGATTGAATTATCTCTGTGAAGCTCTTTGATTGGTCATTTTGCGTCGGTAATATTAAAATTTGGCTCGGCAGTGACAGCAACATCCAACATGGCGGTGGCTGAAGAAGCTGATCCGCCTAACCGTACTTTATGTTTTGTTTTCCCGAGGTTTCTTTTTGAACCTCCTTGGTTTTTCTGTGTAGCTAAGAAGTGTACAGAGACACTTTTGCTATCTCTGGATGGCATTAGTACCTCGTCTGACTGAATTGCAATCTTTACATTGTGGAAAATAAGTTTTTATTTATCTATTTATTTATTTATTGGTATCAGTTCATGGTGGTTGACTCTCTAGATTTTGTATTCTATGACTGTAATTCATTTTTATGAATTTACATGTACTACCGGTAGTATGTTGTGAACCCAACCCACATTTTTTTTCTGTGCACCTTCATGTACATTCTAGGTCAGCTGTAGGATATAGGGATATATCATATAGATAGAAATATAGGGACACCGGAGCACAGTCTATAATTTAAAATAAAAATGTATTTCCAACCTTCATATCTGAACAAGGTATCAAAATACAATTTCTGTTTCATTTCCAGTTAACCTGAACCTGCCAGTCCACATCACGGGTAGAGATGCCCAGAGGAACCCAGAGTTTGTGAAGCTGCTGTCATCCCTGTCACACAGACTAACACACACTGGGGTCAGCAGGAGTCTACACAAGGATGTGGAACAGGTAACAAGTAACATGGGTGCAACTTCTGGGATGGAAGTATTGTTTTGGACAGTGCTGGTTAGGCAGGGTTTGTGTATTTGGATTCTAGAGTTATTAGGAGGATGGTGCAAGAGTTGAGTAAGTGATATATGAGCGTATAGAGCAGAGTGGGCGGAGATTCTGTTTCAGTTGCTTGACAGTGTTGTGACATGCTACATTGACATTGTCTGTGTCATTATATAGGTTGTGGTTGCCAGGAATGTGTATCTGTGTAATCAAGGATGGTATCAACTTGTGAAAGTGGGGATGTACAATGTATACTAGTATGGAACAGGTAACCTACTAGTACTTCAGGGATGAGTGATGTCATATGAGCGTACATGTATGGAGCTGAGTGGGCGGAGATTGGGTTTTAGTTGATTGACAGTGTTGTGACATGCTATGTGTCATAGGTTGTGGTCGCAAGCTAAGGAATGTGTACTACATGTAATCATGGTATGAAATATAAATCGTGGTGTAATACAGGAGTATTAGCCACCTCATACAATGGAATGAGTAATGATCCTTCCTATCCATTGACGAATGGAAGCCAAAGTTGAAAATTGGAAAGAGGGTAACTGGTTAGAGACTTCAACTATGAAAACTTGTGACTAATGCATGGATATACATGTACATGTATGAATCTTATGAAACATAACAACATGTGTTTGGTGACTGCTTTTTGTCACTGATTTAATTTTCAAAGGCAACAGAACAGATGAGAAGAGAAAAAGCTGCTTGGTTGCAGACAGGCGCCCTCTATCATGAGTTGGAGGAACTGCTCCTGGACTATGACATCAAGAGACAAGAAGCTGAACTACCTGTTGCTGAAACACAGGTCTGGAAATCCTTTCTTCTACACGCCTGAACATTCAAAATTAAATCCACCAGCCAAGTTTTACATGCACTTCAGTTTCTTCACCTTTTAGTTCATTAAAAAAAAATCAAAATTATTTTATGTTTTGATAAAAAAATATTGAAGTTCCTTGCTACTATGTAGTATCACCATTTTTAATTTCACTAAGTTCTCTGCTGTCTGATGCCTGTGATGCTACTTTGAAGAATGCATGTCAGTTTTTGGTCATATGTCCCTCTAGTGTGTGGGAGTTAGGTGCTGGTAGAATACTAGAAATACCTGCATACCAGTACGTGCACAGCTCCAATTTTACCTGGACTAACCTACTACTTGTAACTATATGCAGTTGGTAATTTAAGCCCTGTATTTAAAAAAAAACATTAGACCTTACTGTCAAGCACCCTGAATCTGTTGTATTGCATTTTTTTTTGCATTCGTATGAAAAGTGCTTTTATTTTCCCCCCACCAGTTTTACACAGCTTTGCGGGAGTGTTTGACAACTGCAGAGATCTGTGAGTACTTGGAGTGTAGTCCTGACGGCAGAAGGGATGTCACCTTACTGGGACTCACATCACAGCAACTTCACCAGAATAACCCGCATAGGAAGGTCAGTATGATAGGATGAGTTTGCAACAGCTAGCAAAACGTGCTACATAAAGCAGTAGAATGTGCTGCACCTGGATTTTTCACGGCTTTTGTTGGACATTGTAACAGTACTAGTATGCATTTGCTAAATGCAAACATTATCTTTCTTGTTCTTTTGATTGATTTTCATTTATTGGCTAAGTAACAAGGCTATTGTCAAGGGCTAGCCCTGGAAATTTACATAAAATGGAAGGGAGTTCTACAGTTGGATGGGTATGCGTAAGAAGGCTTTCTGCATTCTTATACTTCTATCAGGGATCTTTCTATAATGTTCTTGTTTGTGATAGGATCTGAAGTCCTTGCAGAAGAAGCTGGTGCCCATGATAGAAGAGAGGCTGAAGAAGAAGTGCACAGCAGTCTTCAGTTTCCATGAATCTTCCAGTAATCTTTCCAATGGTGAGTGCAATTAACTACAACAAGAGATCACTTCAGGTACGGTTCCAATGGTTTAGGCACTGCACCTGTACCTGTACTCAAACAAGTGTGTCCAATCACCATTCTTTACATGTAGCCAGCAGTATCTTTTACTAGTGATATTTTTATTGTCTACCAATACTGGTAGAGTATCAATATTGCCATCTTTGAGATTCAATTTTCATATCTTAAGTTTGAAAATGATATTGTTAAGTGTTAAGTTTATTTACGCCAAAAAGCAGTTACTCAAGCAACTGGATATGATTTTGGAAACGGTCAGACGTTTCAGCTAGTATCCAGTTAAGTTTATTTATTTGCAGGAACAAATTTGCTTTGTTACAACAGGAACATCAAGTGAAATAAAAATATTTGAAGTGAAAAAAATAAACTGATATTGCTTTGTAGATGGAGGTGAGCTGGTTTTCGCCAAGGCGTCCCAGCTTCCCCTGGTGCTGGAGAGAGAGAGGCAAGATCTACAGGAGAAGAGAAGACTACTCCTGCAGGACAGGGCAGCCAGGGACAGGCAGTTCTGGCAGTACTACCAGGTCAGTATGTATGTTTACATTTGCAGAAGGAAAACATATTGTTTTTGCTCTGTTTCTTCTTCTTCTCCAAACAAATACCAATCAATGACCTGGACCAGACGTCTGACACCATGGCAACTAGTGCTGTAGTAAAACACCCTGTGGTATTGGATGAGATTATGTAGAAATGGTAGGACAGAGCTGTATGTATCTTGAATAAGAATAAACAGAGCAGTAGTTTATTAAGCTAAACCATGTAAAGGTAAACATGATTATTCATTTTAGCTCTCTAGTATTTAGTATAAGATGTTGTGTCTCTGGTTACAGTCAGATTCTGTTTTTTACAGATCCTCCTCCAAACGTTGGAAAGTCTGGAGAGAATTGTGAAACATCATCGTCTTAAGTCTCAACTGGACAACAACAACATCATCAGCGAATGGCTCGTCCAACGCTTCGATGCCATGGAACTTAAAATCAAGTAAGGAAGTTTTTACAAAGCTCTATACATGTATATTAATATTATGAATCACAATTTTTATACAGTTATGTAGCAACAAACTGTACAGTATTTTTATGTAGACCTTCACTGAAGGAAAAGTCGGACACAGGAAATGTGGTGGATGTAAAGGTCACATTTAAAGGTCAAGTTTTTACATGACATATACATGTACATGTATCTCTGATTTCTTGTTTGTATAGCATTTATGTTATGCTGACTGATCGTTTCTGGTTCTTTCTGCTCAGGGTTGTTGAGTCGCAGGTTCTCTGTGATACATACACAGCAGACACAGTGGCAGCACTCAAACAAATCAGGTAAGTCTGGATACATTGTACAACCCTAAATATTCGTAAGAAAATTCAAACTCTACTACTGGATCAGTTTCGGATTTTTATTTCCGGACGTTTTGAGTGACATCCATCACTCTTCTTCAGCGTCACAAATGAACAGAGAACCGATTCACTCTTATATACAAGTAACTAGAAAAACCGGTTAACAACAAGGTCCGTAAGAAGCTTTACAACAAGCTTCTTATGGA